TTTACACTTCTAGATATGAATAAGAGGCCTCCCTCCTCCCTCCTCCCTCCTCCCTCCTCCCTCCTTTTCTTACATGAAGGAAATAACAGCTATTGATTGGCTCTAAATTAGAATAATTGAGAAAAATATATGCTTCTTGTAGGAAAGGATTGAATTGCAAGAATTTTCACTAGGTTCATGCCCTCCTATCTTAGGTCTTCATGGTACTCGGTGGTCAACTTCAGGTGATCAGGTTTGGTTTCTCATTGAATTGTAAATTTTTATCCTTATACTCGTTCCTATAATTCCTCAAGAATAATCCCCTTTTTGAAGTTACAAAAAATGTAGGGGAATCACACAGGCACTCCCTGATTTATTTCAAAACAATATAACAACCCCTAACATATCTAAAATAACATGAGGACCCCTTGCTTTTAATAAGGTGTGAACGAAAAACCCATTCAGTCATGAAAAAACTAAGTCAGTGAAACTAATGCTTAAAAGATGTCTAAAACAATGCTTTTGTGTGAGAATATATTTTCATTATAGAAGTCATAAAGCGATGCTTGTTTCTAGTTACTATTGACAACTCTCATTTGCTTCACTTACTTAAGAATTCTTTTTTGATGAGAAACTATTATTATATTAATAACAAAACAAAAAGGTATATCAAAAGAAGAGATGTTGGAAAAGAAGTCCAACCCTCAAATGACAAAAAAAAAAAAAATAGCTAAAACAAAATTCAAAGGACAACTCGCAGATTGTCCTCCATCCCGCCAAAATATAAAATAGTGGAATTCCTTCAAAGTCTTTGGTGACCGAAGCCTAAAATAAAGCCAAGAAAAAAATACAGTTCCATCGACCATCAACCCTCTCCCGGCTATCTTCTAAGATCCGAGCATTCCTCTCCAATCAAATAACCTAAACTGTAGCAAAGATCACACAATTTCAAAGTGTAATTCCTTTAGGTTGATGTCCCAATCCTTTAAAATCCTCCACAAACAAAGTAGAGAAAGGCCAAGGAGTAACCCAACTCAAACCTGCCAATGAAAACGATTTGTTCCACAACTATAAAACAATAGGGCAATGCAAGGACAAATGATTAATACTTTCACTATCACTACAACACATAGCACACCACTAGAAAGACAAGTTTGAGGTCTTCTCCTTTTGAAGCATATCATTAATATTAATTTTACCATGTCCAATTGTCCATGCACAAACCTTTACCTTACAGGGCACCTTAGCCTTCCATATCGTCAATGAGGGAGAGAAAATGGAAACATATGAATCATTAATCAGGAAATCACGAAGGGACTTGCAAGAAAACACACCCGAAGACTCAAGCATCCATCTCCTTTTGTCAATAGAGTCATGGTTAATGTGAACATTACCAAGCAAAGAAAGAAGAAGCACCATATCACAAGTATCACTATTATTCAAATTCCTACGAAAACCAAAATTCCAAGATAACAAATGAGAATTCAAACTTGTCATATAGATGATAGGCACATTGTGAATTTGAAATAACTGGTACAACTCTTCATTTAGTGAACTCTTTATCTTCATTAATTATTAGATACAAATGATCCTCATTAAAGTTATATTTTTTTTGTTATTTTTTTGAAGCTCACATTCCTGACCCCTTTATTTGTAACAGCGAATTATGCGCTTGGGTTTTGATTGGGACACTACTGACTTGAGTATTTTATTACTTGCAAAGTTGGCCAAGCCGTTAATGGGAACTGCCCGTATAGTCATAAACAGCATCCACATCAAGGGTGATGTATGTACATTAGCTTTACTTTCATCCACTTATCTTCTTTTCATTTGTTTAATGGAAATATTTAAGTTGCATATATGGCTCCAATTTAAAGGATCGTTTGTGAAAGTAAATGATGCATCAATGATTTTCTTAATTAAATAACCGTACTCTTGCACATGACATCATTTAACGAGTGATATGATCTTATTTCCTTTTCAGTGTGACATATGACCAGTTGGTCCAGGGAATTTTTTTTGTCAATTTTATCGTCATCGTCGTCATCATCATGATTATTTGTTGTTTAATTGTTAGTTGATCGGATTCCAGAGGGTTGTTTTTTTCCTAGTTCTTTAAACAACAGTAAATGGGTTTCACTTGGTAAATCTTCCCCACCTGAAGTTTAACTTGCTTAAACTGATTCATTTATTGCAAGCTCCATGAAGAACTGCTCAATTCTAGGTGGAACAAATTTATTAGATGGCGGAAGATCTTTAACCATATGATTGTTGCATCATTATCTTGGCACAACTGTAAATCTTGAGAATACAATTACCAATTCTTCTTATAATTAGTTGTCCCAGTTTATATTTTGTTACACCACGAGTTGTCTAGCTTAAGTGGTATCTTCTACTTCTTTCTTCTCGAAGTTGTAAGGTTTTAGTCCTGATAAAGGAATATGAGAGGTGAAGGGCTGCTCCATTGTGTAGCGCATGTGTTAGCCCAAAGAAAACGAAGCTCAATTATTATCATTGTAGGAATAATTAAAATCCTTGAGCAATCTTCCGTAATTATTTCAGATACCTCACAATGCAAAAGAGAAAATTCAGGTCATGGCCCAACCATGCCCCTCGCCCGAATCGTCATTCATCAATGCCACCATGAACCAGGAAATGTATTGGAAATAGAAACATGCTCTAATACCATGTATGCTTCGATTACAAGAGAGAATGAAGAGAAAAAGAGAGAATATTTTTGCGGCTCCATAAATTTGTTACAAAATTAAGCAACAAGATGGAGAATAGAAATCCTTTATAGTAGGGTAAAACAATAATGAAAAATGACTAAGTTACCCCTAATACTAACAAGCACCATCTTGCAGGATCGCCTCTAGACTTCAAGTGGAGTTGTTTCAACGATCTATTGGAGCTACCACCAAAATTTTGATTGTTAGAGTAGTTAGAATATTTAATCTTAAGGGTAGTTTAGTACTTTTATTCTTTTATGTTGCCCTACTGTATAAGGGTCTTTTGTATGCATTTTTTTATTATGCTGTAATACAATCATTCTCTATTGTCTGTTCTCTTTTTCTCTTTGTTTTTATCAAAGTTTACATGGTGGTATCAAAGCATGGTTTCGATCCAAAATATATATTGTAGCACCATGGTAATTTAGTTGGAGGAAGAATGTATTCTTGGGTTGTGTGATTTCAAGGCTAGTGATAGGTGGGTTGCTATTTGTGGTTCTAAGGGGCTGTGAACAGTGCCGAAAACACACTGTTCATACTGTGAACAGTGCTAATTTTGATTTTTAGTGCCCTTTTTTTTTGGTATATTGCCTCCGTGGTGTTCGATTGGATGCTTTGAAGCATTTTGAACGGGTTTTTGATGCAAAGGAATGGGATTTTTGGCTGATTTCCTCCTTCGGCAAACACTGTAGCGACTGGTTTATCACTTCTTCTTTGGTTTTTGCCTTCTGCTGCTCACGCCATCTTCCTACCTTGTCTGCTGCTGCTATTTGATCTGTTAATTATTGGTTTGTTGGTTGTGGGTGGGAGCGATTAGTGGCCCATGCAGGTTGTGAGCTTGTGCAAAATTTTAGCTTCGATTATTGCTCTGTTGCTTTGTTGTTACTGGTTTTGAATATTCTTCTCTCCTTGACTTGCTGGAAGACTTTGTTGCCTACTTGGTTTTGTCGTTGTTCGCTGCTATTGTTCTACTTTGGATTGATTGGCTATTGTTCTCCAGCTGGGACTTTGATTTTCCATTGGGCTGTAATTGTTGAGTCAGTTTGGCTTCTATTCTTGCTGGGCCTTTGAACTTCAGTTGGGCTTGGTGATTTGGAATTGGTTCCGTTAATTTGATTGTTGTTATTTTTGGCTAGTGACAATTATGGCGAGCGACAAATTTGGCTCTCATTTGTCAATTAGTTTAAAATTAACTAAGATTGTTGATCAATTGCAGGAGCTCCTCCAACAGCCTAATTCTCTCTCCATCTCACCTTCTATAGGTTTGTTCACTTCGGGTCCTTCAGGTATATCTCGAACCATATGGGTCTTTGACTCAGGTGCTACCTATCATATGACTAGTGATTTTTCCTTATTTGCATCTACCTTTTCTCCTCCATCTGTTTCTGTGCTTGTAGCTAATAGTACACAAATATCATTGGCTGGTGTTGGATCTATAATTTCTCCGCATCTAACACTTCCTAATATTTATTATATTCCACAGTTTACCATAAATTTAATTTCAGTCAGTCAGCTATTTGACTCTGGATTTTCAGTTCATTTTTCCTCTTCTGGTTGTATTGTACAGGATTCATATTCCAAGAAACTGATTGGGACTGGCAGTAGAAAGGGAGGATTGTATGTGTTGGACGAGTTACATATTCCTGACATTGTTGCTTCTACTGTTGATATATCTTCTTTTCATTTAAGTCCACAGTCTTCTAGTTTCTATTTGTGTCATTCTCGTCTTGGTCATGTGTCCCACTCTCGTTTAAAATTTTTAGCCTCTACTGGGAATTTGGGTAATTTAGAGTGTCATGATATTTTCAGTTGTAGTGGATGCAAGTTAGTTAAATTTACTGCATTACCTTTTAATAAAAGTTACACTAGCTCACTTGCACCTTTTGATCTGGTTCATTCTGATGTTTTGGGGACCGGCTCCTATTCCCACAAAAGGTGGGTCAAAATATTATGTCTCTTTCATTGATGATTATACTAGGTTTTGTTGGGTTTATCTCATGAAACATCATTTTGAATTTTTTTCTGTATTTACTGTTTTTCGTGTTATGATACGTACTCAATATTCATCTGTTATTAAATGTTTTCGATGTGACCAAGGAGGAGAATATTCTTTCAACTCTTTCCGTGATCTATTAAAATCTGATGGTACTGTTTGACAATCTTCTTGTACTAATACACCTGAACAGAATGGTATAGCAGAGCGCAAACATCGACATATTATGGAGACAACACACTCTCTTTTACTGTCAGCAAATGTCCCAAGTTCTTTTTGGGGGGAAACAGTTCTTATTGCAATTCATCTGATTAATTCTATTCCCACTGTCATCACCTTTGGAATTTCTCCATTTGAAAAACTATGTGGTAAGTCATCTGATTATTTCTCTTTGCGTGTATTTGGGTGCATCTGTTTTTTTTTGCTTCCTAGTGTTCTTCGTACTAAGTTCTCTGCTCGTTCAGCTTTATGTGTTTTTCTTGGTTACGGTGAGGGTCAAAAGGAGTATCGTTGTTATGATCCTGTTTCACACAAACTCTGTCTCTCATCATGTTATTTTTATGGAGCATATTCCTTTCTTTTCTATTCCATCTAGTTCTTCACATTTGCATAAGTCTGATCTCATTTGTATTGACCCATTTTCGGCTGATGTTCCCCTTGACACTTATGTTGGTGATATGACTGTTTTTGATGTACCCATCACTCGTCCCCCTATTGTTCAAACATATGTTCGCACGAATTCAGCTATCTCCTCTACAGATGTGGTGCCTCCCCTTTCTTCTCCTGTCACCCAATCAGGTTTAGACAATGTGGATCATACCCCGCGCTATCCTCAGCGCTCTCGCAAATGTCCAGACAGGTTTGGTTGGAGTAACACTTGTTATTCTCCTGACTTTTGTTCTTTCCTTACTTCTATTTACTCCTTATCTGAACTCACCTCCTACAAGGAGGCTTTACTTGATCCACTTTGGAAACAGGCTATGGAAGAGGAGTTGTCTGCCTTACATAAGACCAGAGCTTGGGAACTAGTGTCTTTACCACCTGGTAAACGCCCCATTAGTTGTAGGTGGGTTTATAAGATAAAAACCAAGTCTGATGGTTCTGTGGAAAGGTATAAAGCTCGATTAGTAGCCAAGGGTTTTGCGTAGGAGTATGGTATAGACTATGATGAGACTTTTGCCCCTGTTGCAAAGATGACCACTGTTCGCACTGTGATTATAGTTACTGTTATGTGCCAATGAAATTTGTCTCAGATGGATGTGAAAAATGCATTTCTTCATGGAGATTTAAGTGAAAAGGTTTTTATGACTTCTCCTCCTGGATTGTCTCATAGTCCTGGTCAAGTATGTCGACTTCACCGAGCTTTATAGGACCTTAAACAAACTTCTAGGGCATGATTTGCCAAATTTTCTTCGGTTATTTGTGACTTGGATTTTCACGCCAGTGACCATGATTCTGCTCTCTTTTTACGGTCTACTTCCTTAGGTTCTATTATTCTCTTACTATATATTGATGATATGATTATTACGAGTGATGATACTGCTGACATATGTTTATTGAAAATCCAGTAGCAGGACCATTTTGAGATGAAAGATTTGGGGTAGTTTAGATATTTCTTGGGTATTGAGATTACATCCTCTCCTAAAGGATATCTTCTCTCTCAGTTCACGTATGCTTTAGATGTTATTCAACGAGCTCGTTTATCAGATAATCGGACAGTTGAAACACCTTTAGAGCTCAATGTTCGTTACTCTTCTTCTAATAGTACTCCCCTGTTTGACCCTATGCTCTATCGTGCTATTGTTGAGAGTTTAGTATATCTTACAGTCACTCGTCCGGATATCTCCTATGTTGTTCATATTGTTAGCCAATTTGTTGCCTCGCCCACCACTATTCACTGGGCTGCGGTTCTTCGTATTCTTCGGTATCTTCGACGTACTCTGCACCAGAGTTTGTTATTGTCCTCTTCTTCCTCTATGGAGCTCGGGGCTTATTTTGATGTTGACTAGGCTGGTGACTCTATGGACCGTAAGTCCACTACGGGTTTTTTGTATTTTTCTTGGTGATCCTCTTGTTTCTTGGAAAAGCAAGAGACAAACTGTTGTTTCTCATTCATCTGCTGAAGGTGAATATCGTTCTATGACATCTACTGTAGCTGAGATAGTTTGGTTACGATGGCTCCTTGTTGATCTTGGCATCATGTTACCTGCGCTGACTCCTATGTATTATAACAATACTAGTGCTATTCAGATTACTCATAACTCAGTCTTTCATAAGCGCACAAAGCATATTGAGATTGATTGTCACTTTGTGCGTCATCATCTTCAGCTGGGCACTACCTCCCTCCCTTTTCTTTCTTCCACTATGCAGTTAGCAGATTTTTTCACAAAATCACATACTATTACTTGCTTTCGTTTTCTTCTTGGCAAACTCTTGATGTTTTCTGCTAGCACATCATGAGTTTGAGAGAGGGTGTTAGAGTAGTTAGAATATTTAATCTTAAGGGTAGTTTAGTCCTTTTATTCTTTTATGTTGCCCTACTATATAAGGGCTTTTTGTGTGCATTTTTCTATTATGTTGCAATACAATCATTCTCTATTGTCTCTTCTCTTTCTCTCTTTGCTTTTATCAAAGTTTACATTGATAATCAATTAGAATTATTAGGCAGATAAGGAAAGAGGAAGAAAGAAAGAAAACCCATATGAGAGGTCATGTGCTCTTTCTTTTTCTTATTCTCAGAGAGTGTTGATGGAAAAAAGGCAGCCTCTTTGAAATCCATTATGGGTCCCGCCAAAAGGCTACTCCCATTCTTTTATTATGGCTATTAGACACTATAAATTAATCTAATTTGTGAAAAAAAAAGTTTGAAATTCAAATGCTGAAATTATTTGACTATAACAAAGTGTGAAAAAGTAAGAGTATTGCCATTGAAGAAACGTTGACAAAAAAATCATGTGTTGAAACTTTATGTGAATAGTTTTATTCCACAAAAAGTTAACAAAAAGTATTGAGTATATGTGTAGTTGAATTAAATAACATATCAAGTTTACCAAACTTATTTTTTTATCGCTCATATTATATTATGGAATTAGGAAAACTTTGCTTGTTCTTAAAGATTCATTGTTCTGACTATAAGAAAAAATATATATAAAAAAAAAAAAGAAATAGTGGAAGTTCTATTTTTTTAGAATTTTATGACTTAGAATGATTTTTTTAATTTTTTTTGAAATTTATTTGATTAGGTATTCACTAATAATTTCTAAATAAAATAAAATAATTGCAAATTTCTAATCATATTGGAACCTTACTATAATTATGAATTAGTGAGGTCAATTGTGATAAAATATAATATATTACTCTATAATATATATTTTAAAGAATAGTAAAATTATAAAAAATTCAAGTTTTACATAAAAATATACTGTAGTTTATTGTCACATAAACTTTTAATACGACTTGGAAAGTTTAGTGTGATTGAAGAATTATGTTAATGTAATATAAATCAATTTAAAAAAAAACTATATATAAGATTATTTTTTATTTTTAAAGATGAAAGGGTTGAACTTTTGAATGAAAAAAATACACATATGTAGGTATAGTGTTATCTTTACATATGAGATGTGGAGTATTAGATTGATGGAGGTTTTGTAGGTTTTTTAAACACTTTATTGAAAACTGTGCATATATGTTTTAAGAGTAATATAATCAATTAAAAAGTTTCATAAATATTGATATTTATACATAATATAAGCAGATGTTAGTGGGTAATTTGGAGATTTAAACACATAAGGATATGATGATAATTTAGATGTGTAACTATGAAAGTATAGAGTAGATAGATATAGATATAGATATAATCAGTAATCATAACATCTCCAATGGTGACCTGAGTTACAGAAACTGCTGATATTAGCTAGATGTTTGGTACTTGTCACAAATTTAGGCAAAGGGTACCATGGTGGCTGTATCCAACAGTCAGAAATTCCTGGAATATGAACTATTTAGGTGGCACAGAAAACTCTGATATCACATCCTCATCCCGTGGTAGTGATGTAATGGTTGAACTCCTACTTCTGCAGGTAATTTAATTTTGATGTTTCCATGTCAAACATTTTATGATCTGACAGGAAGTTCATATCCATGGCATTGCTATGTGGTACATGAACATTGCTCCTGGGGAAAAAGGCTTAAGATTTTCATGATGTTAAATGCAGTCTCCACTGGTTGACCACAAATTTTACTGGTGTGAATGAAATTGTAAAAAAATTCATCTTATTCACCTTAGTTAATTACCCCAACTATTGTGTTTTACTTGTTGACATATTCAAACTTCAAAAAGTTGTCAATAATGCTTATTATAGCAATTTAATATTCTTCGAAAAATTACAGGTACTCTGCATAGCACGCTTGTGTTCTGTTTAGCTTTTTGCTTTTCTTAGCCACAAACTTTGGTTTGCTCAAGTAACATTTTGTATTTCATTTTCTACAGCTTCTATTGATGCCAGTTTTAGATGGAAAAGCAATCTTGTACTCATTTATATCAACTCCAGATGTTAGAATAGGTGTCGCCTTCGGAAGTGGTGGAAGCCAATCTCTACCTGCGACAGAACTTCCAGGTGTTTCTTCATGGCTGGTATGGTACTTAACTATTTGTATTTGAAGCTTTTAGAAATGATACATAAAAATATAGGGAATAGCAAAGTTACAAATTGTTCTTTGATATTCTCTGTATTGAATTCCCTTCTTTCATGCAATTGTTGTTAGGCATCTCATTTACATTGCTATGCCCACTATATTTCTACTGATTGGTAGCCGTTTGTCTCAAAATTTACATCCAAAAATGTTTTTTAAAAAATATTCCTGTTGTTCAGTGGGCAAAACAAAAGAGACGAAACAGTAAGTTTTGCTGCTCAAAAAACGAAAATAATTTTTTCTGCTCATTCATACCACACAATGAAATCACTATCATAATGGAATATTTCTTTGTGTTCTAATGGCCAAAAAAACCTGGCTTCTGATATGCTCTGTTTAGATGTTGGGAGGATGGAAAAAAAGAAAATGAGTACCTGGAATCCTAAAACTAGTTGGTATTGAAATGTTAGTCCTTCTGTGCTTTTGTATTCATTGCAACTGAACATAGTGCTTATATTATCTGTGCCAAAAATATTTTCTTATGGCAATAGGCTGCTCAGATGCCCCTATGTCGTCTCTTTATTGGTTATCCCAATAATAGCAGTTTCCACTTTGAATACCATTATGATATGTTTTATGTACCTAGTCCAAATTTAATTATCCTCTTTCCATTCTGATCTGATTTTCCATCAGAGTAGACCTTTGTGTTTTCTTACCAGTTAAGTTTTCGAATGTTACTTCTTTATTTTCCTTGCACTGTCCAATAATTTATGCTGGATTACTGATGCTTGCTTTTGGTTCTCACAGGTTAAGCTTTTCACAGAAATCTTGGATAAGACAATGGTTGAGCCTCGCCGCCGTTGTTATTCTTTGCCATCCGTGGACTTACGGAAAAAGGCTGTTGGTGGTGTACTCTCTGTGACAGTCATTTCAGCAAGCAAACTTTCAAGGAGTAACTTGAAGGGGAGCCCTTCTAGGAGACAACAAACCCCTGTGAGAAATGGTAGTATTGAGGAGCACCTTGATAATAATGATCTGCAGACATTTGTAGAGGTTGAACTCGAAGAATTAACAAGGCGAACTGATGTGAGACCGGGATCAAGCCCTAGATGGGATTCAACGTTCAATATGGTTCTGCATGAAGAGACTGGAACCCTCAGATTCCATCTTTATCAATGTACTCTTGGCAGCGTGAAGTACGACTATTTAACCAGCTGTGAAATTAAGGTATTGGCCAAGTTGTTGCTAATTTTTTTAAAATCTACAACGTATTGCAGTACATGGGGCCATTGTTTCAAAATTTGAACCAATATCCTTAAGATTGTGAGTTCAATTATGAAGACAGCCACTTTGTGCAGATAATGCCAAAAATTAGGTCTATACTCGATCTATCACTTGTAGATCCCAATTGATGGGACTACACTGGGTGTTATTTTTCAGAATACATTGCTGTGCACTTTGGATCTCAAATGCATCACCTTAAGAGGTTGCTCTGGTGATGCAATATTTACAGGCAAACCTCCCTTTTTCTTTTCTATTGTCAACGAGAGGATTGCAGTGGAGCCAAGGATCAAAATGTCGTGTCGACACGTCCGAAACGTCCGAAACGTTTCGGAATTTCAACACTCCGAAACGAAACAGTAGTTGAATCACAAAATTCCAGTGTTTCGGTCGAAACGGTACTGTTTCGGACCGTTTCGGTCGAAACGGCATTGTTTCGAACCGTTTCGACAAAACAGTGATATATTCGGTTCATTATGAATAATTACATTTAATA